CCTCTCCACTGCACCCCGCACCTCTCCACTGCACCCCGCACCCCCACTGTACCCCGAACCTCTCCACTGCACCCCCACTCCACTGCACCCCGCACCTCTCCACTGCACCCCACACCCTCACTGCACCCCTCACCTCTCCACTACACCCCCACTCCACTGCACCCCGAAACTCTCCACTGCACCCCCACTCCACTGCACCCCGAAACTCTCCACTGCACCCCACACCCCCACTGCACCCCTCACCTCTCCACTACACCCCCACTCCACTGCACCCCGCACCTCTCCACTGCACCCCGCACCTCTCCACTGCACCCTGCACCACACTGCACCCCGCACCTCCACTGCACCCCACACTACACTGCACCCCACATCACACTGCACCTGCACCACACTGCTGTGCTCTGCAGACATGCCCAGGGCCCCGGGGCGAAGGTCGGGTAAGGTTCTTACATGTTTCAGGAGCTTCTCCCCTCTAGTCCTGTAATTCATGAGGAGATCAACGCCTGGCTTCTTGGGTTTCACACCTAGAGAGAAGACACGTTCAGGGCCAAAGTGCTTTAGGTAGAGCGAAGCCTAACATGGGAAAGGGAGGACACTGACTGGTGTTCTGTTCCCTACTGAGGGCTGAACCCACAGTCTTGCACACGCTAGCAAATCACTGCACTACACCCTCAGCACTCCTCGCTGCTTGCTTTCTAGTTTTGGTGGTGGTTTCTCGTAACTTAGTTGGCCCTGCACTCCTGTCTTGATCTTCTGTCTCAGCCTCCTAAGTACTAGGATTACGAGCGGTAGCCATCATATCATGCCCAACTCTCCACCCCACCTCCATTCCTACCCCAGCCGCATCCCTTAGACGGGGTCTTACTGCATGTGGCTGGCCTGGAACTCAGCACATAGGCCTGTGTGTGAGCCTTGAGCTCACAGAACTGGGCCCACTTCTACCTCCTGAGTGCTGAGATTATAGCTGAGCACGACACTCAGGCTCCTTTTGCTTTTCATTTTGAGACAGCTTCTCAAAAAGCTCCCCAGCCACACCTCACATTGTAATCCTCCTGCCTCAGCCTCCTGAGAAGCTAGGATTACGTGCTATGCTACAAGGCTTGGCTTGAAATTTGCTGACATTCTGAAGCACTTTTTAAAACAATAATCCCAGACCCTCACTCACAGTCTCCCCAACCTCAGCAGCAACTCCCTACAATGCTTGTTCCCAGAGCAGCTGAAAGTCAGATGTCTGCTGAATGTCCCCCGGTCATATCTGACCCTACTTTCTTTGCTGTTAGGTCTCATAAAATGAAGTGGCTGGGTCAGCAGGGCGGAGACAGTAGTGTGGCAGGCTTTGTTAAGTGGCCTCTGACCCTGAAGTCATGGAAACTACAGACAAAGACCACAGCAGATAGGAATGGCAGCTTACTGGGCACAGGGCAGGCAGGGAGGACTTACGTAAAACTCTGTAATCTGGAAATGTTAGATAAGGAGCTTCATACCCCCAAATCTGGTGTGCCTGGAGAACAGAGAGTTGGGAATTAATACCAACCAAGGCAGACGTGGGCTACATGCCTGAGATCCCAGAACTGGAAAGGCTGAGACAGGACCATACTGAGATTGAAGTCAGCCTGGGCCACGTAGCAAGACTGTGCCTCCAAACCCCAAACAACGAACACCAGAGCCCAGAACTGGCTGAGAAGATGGCTCTGTAGGTGAAGAGCTCTGAGCTCAGCCCCACGGCACCCACAGTAAAAGTGCAAAAACCAAACACCAGGGAGGTGCTGGCTCACCATAGTGCTGGGGATGGGGCGGAGTGAGGACCAGGTGAACAGACAGACGGCCACTAACCAGCCAGTCTAGCCAATCAGTCAGCTCCAAGTTTGCTGAGCAACAATAAAGTGGAGGACAGAGAAAGGTGCCCGTGTCAATCTCCGGCCTCTACATCACATGTCCACCTGTACATACACATGTACCATACACACATGTGCACAACAGCAACAAACCCATTTTCACAATAATAAACATCTAACAAAATCCCCATCCTTATTCAAATGGCATTTTGATACTACTGACAAAAGCCACTATAACCGGTGAAATGAAAAGACAAAACCGGATATAGTACTTGTAAATGAGGCTGGGCAAAAGAGTCCAGTCCTAATATGTAAAGAGTTTATTTTTTAAAAAATCACTAAAGACAAAAACAAAAAACCAACTATCCTAACAGAAACATGGGCAAAGAAGATACACAATCACATTTCATTATTCATGGATTCCATATTTGTGAATTCACCTACTTGCTAAAATCTGTGTGTAATCTGAGGTTAATGCAGCACTTTTGAGGTCATTGAGGAGCATGCACAGAGTGGGAAAATGGAATTCCCTGTCATGTGCGTCCAGGCCGAGGTCAGGCACAGGCAGCCTTGGCCGTGCTGACACAGGTAATTAAGTGTCCTTCTCACAGCCTCTTTTATGTTTCCTCGTTAAGGATTTTGCTGTTTAAAATGGTCCTGACCATCCTTCTGAAGTACGGTGTAGGGTCCATAAGCAAAAGAAGGCTGTGGCATGCCTCTCAAGGAAAAGAACTGCTCTAATTAAGCTTCATGTTAGTGCTATTGGCTCAAGTTCAAGGCTAATAGACATATATTAAAGAGTTTTTGAACAGAAACATTCACATAAAAATTACTGTGCTGATTTTTTATTTGCAAGTGTTTCATAATAAAGTTTATTTTAAGAATACATAAAAACAAAGTTATATGTTGATAAATTGAGGAAAATGTTGTGACTAGAGACTGACAGAACCCAAACTATATATCTCCCATGGGAGCAATGGATTGCTGTAATGTACTGTTTGGTCCTACTTTAGAAAGTGTGACTTCTGCAGAAAGGAGAATCAGCTACTGTTAATAAAAACACCCATGAAACTAATAAACATGAGGGAAGATACTTAATCTATCTAAGAAAAGTAAAGAAAATGCAACTATATTCATCTATCAAATTGGGAAGCATTGAGGTTATAATTATCTTCATTAACCTTTTGAGGAAAAAACCACTCTCACTGTGCAGCGCAGGTTGATCTTGAACTTGTGACCTTCCTGATGTGGGCTCTCTTGAGTGCTGGGATCACAGCATGTGCCCCTAGGCCTGGATTAAACCAGGTGTGAGAATATAGGAACGAGCCTAGGCTAATACAGGGAGGCGATTTAACTGTGAATAATACAAGCTTGCTTTCCAACTCAAGAATTTCACTTCTGGGAATGCACTAAGATGAGTTTACCATTGCATAAGTATGTTTATGATAACTCTTAGTTATCATAACACTGTTTATAATAATTATAAATAAAAAACCCTAAGTGTCTAGCAAATAAAAACAAAAAGGAAAAAAGAAAAAGCTAGAAAAAGAAAAAATGCTAGATGCTTGCAGATACGGAACATTTTTTTTTATTGTGATGTATCCCATCAAAGGGATGTATGTGTGCATTAGCTATGATAACAAATGATTATGCTTGTTAACAAGGAAAGGTGTACATAAAAATATTGGTCTATAGAAGCAGATCACAGAGGAAAAGGTCCAGTATGATCTGGTCAACTCACTGGACACAGGTGGATGTGCAGACATATGATGACATACAAGCACACTGAGGTTGTAAGAAGTGTGACTAAAAGTAAATTATTATCCCAGAGGAAGAGAAAGAACTTCTCATGTTTTTTTTTTTTCTTTTGAAACACAGTGACTTGAACCCAGGGCCTTCTGGGGTACCAAGCAATTGCTTTCCCATACTTGTTTCTCACTGTTCTTTCTATTTCTAATCTCTTCACTGTTTGGGAGTTTACAGTTAGAGACTTAGAAGCTTACATGTGATTATTGCCACACATGGAGAAGAGACCACCACATGGGGAATGGGACAACAACCTCAGCCTGGCCAGTTGTTTACAATTGGTAACCTTGGTTACTCATGGATTTTTTTTTTTTCCCCTAACAGGAAGCTACACACACAATACCCCAGAAAGAACTGTTTGGTGAATGAATACTCGTTTTTAGAACTCACCCCCTTCGAGTTTATTTTTTTATGACTAATGTGCATATTCAGTCCTTTCCACGCATCTGAAAAGGGCCTTAGGAAGAGTCAGAACATACCACTCTGTGCTTGACGTTGAGCGGAGTGTGCCCAGAGGGTCTTGCTCCATCAGAGAGTCCTCCTGCGTGCAGATGAAGAGGGAGTCAAGATGAAACTTCTCACACTCACAAGTGACACAACTACTCCCACTCTGCACAAGCCACCTTTGATCCCCATTCACCCTTGACCGCAGAACAGTTAGAGGAAAAACCGTGGCTGACACTTCAATTTGTAGTAAACCTTCAGGAGCTTCAGGGGAGGGACAAGCATTTCCATGTCTGGAACATTCTTCTGTGATCACTCTTAGACTCAGAGGGAACTGAGGCCGTGGAGAAATCTCAAGGCTGCACTTGCCCTGAACCTCCTGAGATGTTCAGGTGGATCTTATGGCTTCCACACTCTACTCTGACCCACTTTTCACTGTACATTTGAGCAGGTTTTCAGCAAGCTTACTGAGTTACACAGCATCGCCGTAATCCACGTCTTGTTTTTGTCAGACTTTGTGGAGGAGAACAGTGAGAGCTCATCTTCAGGAATATACTTGGCTAGTCGTTTTTCCTTGCAAGTTCACACTTGACAAAATAGTGCAGCTTGACCTCCGCTTTTTAATTAAGGATGTTTACCGTTACCCTAATTTATTAGCCTCCGTCCCCGTCCCCGTCCCCCCCCCCTCCCCCGCTGCTTCCTAGGTGTAGAACAAGAACTAAGTGGGAGTTTTCATTGACGAGACTATCTCAATAACTGCCAACAATCTGTACCTTCAGAAACTGGGCCCTTAACTACTGCGCTAACACTGAGCACCACACACACTTGGTTCTAACAGCGGATTGTCAAGGCTGGTAAGGCCCTGCCGAGGCTATATCGGAGATGCCCCAGTTTGGAAGGATCCTTCCCAGTCATTTCCTTCTCCTAATCATCTTTCTCCTAATCATTTAGTCCACCTGCTGGCGTCTGTGGACTAATTGCCCGCAATGTTTGTGACTCAGCGATGTTCCTGACTGAGCAATGTTTGTGACGACTCAGCAGGTGGGCCATCCTTCTCCTACCTGATTTCCTTGGAACATTAAGCTCCTTCAAATGAAGGCTCACCAGCACAAAATGATGGTGTGAGATGATGACAGAGTGCTGTCTGTCATTTTTGTATTGTATAGAGCATTGTATGCACCCAGAGGAGGGCAATTTAAATGGAGCATCAACAATGGATTAACACAACCTGTCATCCACCTGTGAGGCCCCAAGATGGCTGCCATTAGGGTGTTAAAGTCTGTCTGGAGATTTTTTCTGAAGACCAGGGCTGTCATTGGGTTTTTCAAAGTGTCTAAAAACCACTAGGCATCACTGTTTTAGACAGTCGTTAGCCATTGGGACAGATAGCAGATTTCTAAGAATTTACTAGTCTGTGTATGAGATACACATTGCTCTATGATTGGTTAAGTTGGGGGTATGATAGTATCGTGGTTATACATGAAAACATTCTGACCTTTGGAGGACTCATGCATGCAAACATATACTTTAATTTACCCCCAATAGTCCAACAAAGAACCACACACATGTATCAGCAAATAGACATTCAGGCTGGTGAGATGGTTCAGCTGGCCAAGGTGCTTTCTGATCAGCCCGAAGCCCGAGCTGGATCCCAAGACCCACATAGCAGGAGAGAATGAACTCCTGAAAGCTCTCCTCTGACCGCGCCATATGCGCCATGTTGCATGCTCTTTCCAGTAAATAAGATGTAATGAAAAGTAAAATGTGTTTTAGAAATTCTGATAAGGCAAAATGTAAACAGTTGTAAAGTCCGTGAAAGAATTCTGGAACTGGTTGTCATATTCTTTTAACTTTTCCATTGTAAGTAAAATGTTCACTTATCTGCCTGAATTCCAAGAGAGCTACTGCCATATTCAAAGGTGGCTGACATCAAGAAAGTTTAGGAAAGCCAGGCGTGAACATTCCCCAAACATGTGTGAACTGTAATGAAAGACGGATCCAAGAACTGCTTCGTCTTTTCCTTTCTTCAGTCATGTAGCCCTGTTGGGGGCAGACCCCTGGTCTACCCACATGGCCTACCCAAGTCACTGTGTGTCCACAAGAGAGTGCCAGCTTCACACTCACGGGCAAAATCAACTGCAGCCACCTCACCCCTTGTCATGGCAGGAAAGTGCACACCGTCGCACATGGCATCTTGTGACCTTCTTAACAACAGGCTTGGCTGCAAAGGTTCCCTGTGTCCAGGCTCTGTGAGGAACTGGGAACTGTAGCCTTACATCTGAATATTTTCCGGCAAACACATTTAACTATTTATTAGTCAGTTTCCTAATTTAAATCAGGGAAATAAAAACAGCTAGCAAAATCCCCAACACCTGGAAGGAACCCTGTTGTCCCTGAGTCAGGAGGGCCATCCTGGGATTCTTTGGGGCCTGCTGGCAAAGGTCTGCCATCATCAGCACGGTGGGACCTCAGTTCCAGGCTAAGAGCATATCACTCTGCCCAGATTTATTGGTGGCTAATATTTTTTTTTTTCTCTTTCTCTGTAGCTTAGAAGAAATATAGGTTTTTCTTACAACAAAGCATGCAAATTAGCCAGAAAACAATGAATTTCTAGTGTTAAACACACTCCCTCCTCATCTGCCAGCTCACATCAGCTCACACCCAAAGTCTACGTGGAAGCCAGGAGGTGAGTTCAAGTCACTTTGTTCTCTGCCCTGCACACTCTGGGGCCGTGGTGGCTGTCAAGTTCACAGTGTGCTGAGACCTGAGGGTGAGAGCAGTGTTAGGGGAGAGTGCTGTGTGCTCCCTTCCTGCTCAGGTCTCACAGAACAGCTTGCCCTTTTAGTGGAGGCAGGCAAGCAAGCACGGCCCCAGGAGAAGTGATGCAGGCTCCCCTGAAAAGCTTTGGGGAACCCCCCCAGAACAGACTGTGAGGGTTCGTGTCAGAAGGGAATGGTGAACTCTGACCCTGCCCAGCAGTGGTGCAGGGGAGACGGTTGGAGGAGGAGCAGGCCCACTCCAGGGGATGGACAGTGAGCGAAGAGTGGCTGATGGGCAGGAACAGCACACTGAAGGTTGATGGATGGGGTATTGTGTGTGATTGTGGAGAAGAAGAGCTAGGTCTCTTGTAGGACCAGTGGGCAGGTTTTCTCCTGTGTTGTCTCTGTGTAGAGTTGAGGGTTGTGAAAGCCTTCCTCTTGGCCCATTTCTAGATGTCAGAGCAGAAGGAGGCCTTAGAGAGGGAACCTCTGTGTGAGGGGGACCCTTGTGCCAAAAGCCCCTCTCTTCAGGGAAACCCTAATTCATCTGCTACAACCTTCGGCTTGGTGCCCCAACCTTAGGAGAGAAGGCTTTGGAAATGGTCCAGTAACAGCACACAGGAACGGTCCCCAAGGCTTAATACAAATAAAAGCAACAGAGCCTGGAACCTGTAGGGTGCCCACCTTAGTAAAAAGTGAAAGGAAGTTCTTTTTGTTGTCCCGGGCCCCAGCTGCCCTCTCAGAATCTACCTGCTCCCTCTCCTCCTCACCACAGATCACACTGACCATCACTTACTCAAACGATAAATGTGAATGTTTTGCATTTAGGGTTTGTCTGACAAATTAGTTACTTTTCTGTTGCTGTAATAAAAATACTATATCCAAAAGCAACCAAAGAAAGAAAGTTTACTTTGGCTTGAGGTTCCAGAGGGAGAGTCCATAACGGCTGGGAAAGTATGGCACGCAGGCAGGAAGTTGGCTGGTTACAGTTTTCATATACACAGGAAACTGAACAGCAAGTAACTGCTGTGGGATGTCTTTCTGTATGCTGTGAATATGTGTTGCTCTGATTGGTTGATAAATAAAGCTGTTTGGCCTATGGCAAGGCAGCTTAGAGGCAGGCGGGAAGTCCAGGAGAGAGACAGGAAGAAGAAAGGCAGAGGTGGAGGAGACGCCATCCCGCTGTCCAGGGAGCAGCATGTAACGGCACACAGGTAAAGTCACAGAACACATGGCAACACATAGATTAATAGAAATTAGCTGAGTTTAGTTTTGAGAGCTAGCTAGCAAGAAGTTTGAGCCATAGGCCATGACCATACAGTTTGTAATTAATATAAGCCTCTGTGTGTTTATTTGGGTCTGAGTGGCTGCAGGAACAGGCAGGACACAGGAAAACTTCCAGCTACACGTAGGAAGTGGAGTGAGTTTGTGAAGACTGATGTTTTGGTTTTTTGAGAAAGAGTTTCTCTGTGTAGCCCTGGCTGTCCTGAAACTCGCTCTGTAGAGCAGGCTGGTCTTGAATTTAGAGGTCTGTTGTGGAATATTACTTTAACTATGTAAAGATGTGTTACATTTGTTTATGCTGTATTTGTTTAACGATGTAAAGATGTGTTGTGTTGCCTACCTAAGGTACCCGATTGGTCTAATGAAAAGCTGAACGGCCAATAGCTAGTTAGTAGAGGGATAGGCGGGGCTGGTGGACAGAGAGAGGAGGTGGGTAGGAGAAGGAATCTAGACTTGGGGGAGTAAGGGAAAAGAGAATGAGGGAGAAAGAAAGGGAAGCACCCTGGGCCTACCTGCCAGACACAGAGTAGGACATACAGAATGGAAGAAAGGTAAAAAGCCCAGAGACAAAATGTAGATGAAGAGAAACAGGTTAAATTAAAGTCAGTGGGACAAGTATAAGCTAAGGCTGAGCGCTCATAACTAATAATAAGTCTCTGTGTCATGATTTCGGGGCTGGCACTCAGAGAAAGCCTGTTACAGAGACCCGCCTGCCTCTGCCTCCTGAGTGCTGGAATTAAAGGCGTGTGCCACCATGTCCTGGCCCAACCCACAAGGGCTCTTGCCTAATCCTTAGGCATCTATTCATCCAACTCTCATGGGGGCATCTGTTTTCTTTCTGCATGAGATACTGAAGACTCAAACAAGACAAGTGTTGTCTGCAGGAAGCTTATGTTTTAGACAGATAAAGACAGACAAACAAACAATACAGAGAAAGCAGAATCCAGATAACTGTGTTCCTGAAAGAACAGCGTGTGAAGGTCCTGGGGTGAAAACTGGCTTGATATGCACATATTTAAGTGAAGACAATGTAGCTAGAAGAGAATGAACAAACTGAAGAGGAAATATGAGTTGGCACAGGAGTCATATCCACAATCGGCCCTGCAGGTTTTGGTAAGGAAACAGGACTTAACCCAAGTCTGACAGGAAACAGAAGAGCAATATCATCTCCTTTATATATTAGTATGCCCCTGTGTAGAAAACGGACTGGATAGGTGAGACATGACTTACAAGACACTCTTTCTTACTGCTTTTCTGGGGTTGTTTCCAGTAAGGAGAATGTGTCATAGAAAAATTAAAATGGGATTCAAGGAGAAGAAGAGGAAGGACGCTACAAATGGGCATACACATTGTCGAAATCACATGGTACATGGCATGCTCTCCCCTTCAAACATGAGTCTTTCTTTTTAAGTTTTAAATTCTCTGTGTATAGGTGTTTGGTCTGCATAGATGTGTAACACTTGCAAACCTGGTGCCTAGGGCAACTGGAATTGGGCTTCGGATTCCCTGGAACTGGAGTTGCAGACAGTTGTGAGCCACCATGCAGGTTCTGGGACACGACTCCAGGTTTTTGAGAAGGTCAGCGAGTCCTCTTCAATGCTGAGCCATCTCTCCTGTCTGTTATTTGATTTGTGTCGACATTCTCCTAGACATTCTCATCCCTGTAAAGACTGTGCTATAAGAGTAGTCCCAGGTAGCTGCTTCAGAGACTTGGATTGTGTTCTGTGACGAGGAACTATCTCAAGGACATCTTGTCTGCATCATAACCTCTGGATTTTGGTGTGTTCGCACATATAAAACCCTCCCAGTGCAAATTATACCTCCTGAAAGAGCAAGAGTGAGCGAGACGAGTCTACTTTGGATATATGTCCTACCACAGAGTTGTCTGGGACGGACAGAGAGCTGGACAGAAGCTGCTTGATGAGACGTAACACAGAATACTCCATATAGCAAAGACTAAGCAGAAAGTTGATTGGTCGTTTCTATACTGGGTTTCAGAAACTTGATTGTTACTGGCTACTGCTCTGTTCATTGAATCTGAAAGCTGCTAAGTATGTGACGCCATCTGTTCTGTCCAGGGAGTAACGGCGCAGGTCTGTAATCCCAGGACTCATGAGGTAGGAACAGGAGGATTTTAGTTACAGAGTTTGAGATCAACTTGGCCTAATAAGACCTTGCAAAGGAGCTGGGAGACAAAGCTGCACATTGTGTATCGGTCAGTTATTGCTGCTCATGCTGTCTCCTCGTGGGCCTGTGAAGCAGCCTTCAGACCACGGGTTATCACTGTTCTAACTGGCGCTCTAAAGGGCACAGACGGCCCCGTGAATGGAATGGGACTGCGCTGGGCTCCTCAGATTGGAGGCACTGCCAGCCTGCCTTCGTATAAACCAGTGGTTCTCAACCTTCCTAACGCTTCGACCCTGTAGAACAGCTCCTCATGTGGTGGTGACCCCCACAACCATAAAATTATTTTCCTTGCTACTTCATAACTGTAATTTTGCTACTGTTATGACTCAGTGTAAATATCTGATATGTGACCTCTGTGAAATGGGGATCGTGACCCACAGACTGCTTAACCTCACCTGTGTGAGTTTGGACCTGTTTTTAAGTAGTGTCCTCCAATGGTTTTGTTCTCCAAAGCAAAGGGAATAAAGTGTGGCCTGATTAACACGGTGTAAATGGCTACGTTTCCTATCATCATGCATCAGCAAGCCATGGAGGAATGCTGACCCTCCATCTCAGGTTCTTCTCGTAAAGTCGAGTTTTATTAGGAGAACACCCAATGAAAACATTGGAAACCTTTATCTCTATCAGTTGGCAAACACCCACCAAGCTGCCGAGGGACTTTCCACCACCCAGCTCACCCCATTAGTGCATTACAACCTTAAATAGCTCACCAAGTGGACCGAGTGCCAGAATATGTTATGGTGTGCTTCAAATATCACTTGTGATTATATTAATCAGTATTATTAATGCCCCAGAGACTCAGCTCTTGGAGATGGCCATTGTGCTGGACAATATCTATGTCTCCTCCTCAGAGTCAGACTTGTGACAGGATGGGCAGCTGTTCCCTTCTCCAGGTGCAGCTGTTGGTAGGATGTAGCTGACCCCCAGAGGATCCATGTCTGAGCTCGCTGACCTCATATTGTATGTGAGGAAGGAGAGCTATTCTCAGGCTGGAGGGAAGGGACTGTGTGCCTTCCTTATCCCTCACTCCTACCTGAAGGTAGAGACAAAGGAATCTAGGGTGCCAAGGGGTAATAGCACCCAAGAGGAAGAAAGTCTGTACCCCAAAAACGCCACGTGGGCAGCTAGCCCACAGAGCAACATTTTGGCCTTTATGTGAAGAAAGGTGTTCTTTGGTTGTATAAAGAAAGAAACTGGAGTTGGGGATTTAATGTCTTGTTATAGCATCTGGTTTCAACTTCAAATGGCTAAAACAGCGTGGGGGACGACGACCTCGAACGGTGCTGAGCAGCAGATGATCCCCAGCCTTGGTGTCTCATCTGAGGCCGGCACACCCAGTATTAACACTTTATGAACGAGGGCCAGGCTCTGCTGGAAGGCACATTCTAGGACTAACATGGAAGAGGGGGAGATACCTTAAAGTGACTGTCACTTTTACAAGCACTGTATCTTGAGTGGAACATGGTTACTTTCTTGTGAGAGGGATATTACCTTTTTAGGCAAGGGGAAGCCATATGGGCCACAATCAAGAACCTGGGAGTAGAAAAGGAAAATGCAAGAAGATGGTAGAATGGGGTTTTTCTGACATTATTCTCTAGCAAAGCTTGACATAAAAAGTATGGATTCCAACCATAGATGAGAACACCTTTGTGGGAGTCCAGACGTCCAGAGGGAATGTCCGCCACATCATGAAGTGAAAGACAACAGCAGGGGCATTGCAAGGCCAGAAAGCACCATTTCACTTGCTCTGAGTCACCGCCAAGGCAGCAGAGCTCCGAGCCAAGGGAGATCTCAGCCTGGTACTTCCTCGTGGAGAAGTAGAGGGCAGGGGGTGAGCTCTGGCTCCTCCTCCCATCCAGATACCACCCAAGAGGCTCACTTCCTCCTGACTCTACTCAGAGTCCTGGGGTGGTCGGAGTGCTGGGTGCTGAGGGAGATCAGGGCCAAGAAGCAGAGGCAAGAACTCAAACCAGCCAGAGCCTAGAGCTCAGCAAAGAATCTTGGATCCCAGTCCCCACTTGGGGAGGATCCGTCATCTGCAAGTCACCTCACACGTACTTCAGTATTCCTCATCTTAGGCTCGTCATCGTTCACAGCCAACAGCTGTCTGCTCCACAGATGCAACATGCACAGAGGGAAGAGATGCCGGTTTCTACATACATGCTCATTGTGCACATACAAGCACACATGCACACACCAAACACATGCATACACATATGCACTAACACACCCACACATATGGGTACACCAAACACAAATTCACACATACACACACCACACACATAGCACACATGCACACAAACATATACACATACATACCACACACACACAAACATGCACACACACACACACACACACACACACACACACACACACACACACACAGCTATGTGGAAACCATTGATTAGCATTGTCATGGTAATCATGTCACAGTACAAACACTTATCAAAGCACCCTGTTGACTCACCTAGAACACACAGCTTCATTCGCCAGTCTACCTCAGGTAAGTAGGGGAGAAGGGTCTGAAAGGGTTGTGCTTGGGGGAACGGATCAGGAACTAACCTTTGCCGTCTGCCGCCTCTTGGGAACCAGCCTGGCCGGGTAGATTGCTGTAGGCAGAACCGCCCAGCAACGGTGTCCTAAAGAAAGCCCGTGGGAGAAACAAGTTACACACGGGTAGGCTCAGCAATCACACAGAGCCTACAGATTTAAATTTCATTTGGTTTCTTAAGGTTCTGCTACTTTTCTTCTCTTCCCATTCCCCCCCACACACCCCATATTCCCATTAAATCAACCCGAGCTGAAATTTTGTACAGTCTTCAGGGATTTGTTTGTGCTCTGATTTGTCATAAAAGGGTAACATTTTCATCTCTGCATGCAAAGCTCAAACATTAAGTTCATAATTACTTCAGCAGGATTTATGAGTGTTTCTCCAGGGAGTTGCTTTCAAAATAAGATAAGTGCCATGCATGGAATAAGAAAGATTACAGTAATTACATTGGTTTCCAAATAAAATTTAATGGCAGTGGGGTAATGTGGGGACTCACAGATGTTATGTGTATCCTTTGAAACGCATCTGTATCTCAGTTTCCCTGAACTCAGAAATGGCATTCCTTACCAGCAAGCTATGGTTTATTGGGCGAGATGGGGCATTGTGCCTGGAGTGAACAAATTGATCGCCAGCCTGCACGTGTCGTGGTAACTAACTGAAGGTCCTTTGGTTAGGGAAAGAGGGTTTCTAAACCGAGGCCTCTGGAACTGAGGGGAGGGAGGGTGTAGTGGAGCTGAAATCAGCCCAGAGAGTCCTGCCTGCCCCTCCTGTCCATGTATTAGAGAGTCCTGCCTGCCCCTCCTGTCCATGTATTCAGACTGCAGACAGGGACGGGAAGTCCACCCTGCATCTTTCTCCTACCCCATGACAGCAAAGCAATCATCACAGGCCATTAAATCTTTTTTTTTTTTTTTTTTTTTTTTTGGTTTTTCGAGACAGGGTTTCTCTGTGTAGCTTTGCGCCTTTCCTGGAACTCGCTTTGGAGACCAGGCTGGCCTTGAACTCACAGAGATCCTCCTGCCTCTGCCTCCCAAGTGCTGGGATTAAAGGCGTGAGCCACCACCGCCCGGCGGCCATTAAATCTTAAGTGCAGTTTCTGAATAAATCACCCACTGGCTGCCTCTCAGTAGGTGTGGGGTAGACGTTCTGACAGACAGACAGGGAGCTCGTGAGCTGACCTCTGTGGGAACCACTCCTTTGTTTTTCTTTTTATATTAGACTACCCTTTCTTTATATATAATTCAATCTCCAAATATTGTGGTTTGGTTAGTTTTTAAAACATTGTATGGGGAGGGGGTGGAGATGGCTCAGCAGTTGAGAGCACTGGCTGTTTTTCCAGGGGACTTGGGTTCAACTCCTAGCACCCACATGGCCGCTCAAAGCCATCTGTAACTCCTGTCCCAGATGATTCAGTGCCCTTTTCTGGCCTCTGCATCCACTAGACACACAAGTAATATACAGATATATGGATAGACAAAGCATCCATACACATACAAATTTTAAATTCTGTCCTTGGAATTATAGGATATGTATATTTTTTATCCCGCAGAGCTATAATGGAAAGAACCAAACTCAGCAAGAAAAAATACAAAAATGTACAGTTTGAGGAGAAGAGGGCACCAGGAAGTGTAATGGAGCTAAGTTCTGTGCTCAAGGAGATAAACAGACTAAAGAAAAACCTGATGCTAAATGGAATAAAGGGAGTGACCTCAGGACAAGACCCCAGTCAGCTAACCTCCCCACTTGTGAAAAGGAGTTAAACAGCTTAAGCAGTGGAGGAAACTGTCAAAACCAAAAGGCTGATGCAGATGAACTGAATGAAAGGGCCACGGTCCAGCCTCAGCGAGCAGAACTTGGCAGCTTTGGCCTCCTGGTTCTGGTTTTAAAGTCAAGGACTCAAGAAAGGGGTTGTGGAATCTTCCTCTGAAGCTAAGGGGTGCTGCTGAGACCAGGCGTGTGTCAGGGTGTCCCGGCGTGTGTCAGGGGTGTCCAGGCATGTGTCAGGGGTGTCCCAGCGTGTGTCAGGGGTGTGTCAGGTGTCCCGGCATATGTCAGGGGTGTCCCGGCATGTGTCAGGGGTGTCCTGGCGTGTGTTAGGGGTGTCCCGGAGTGTGTCGGGGGTGTCCCAGCATGTGTTAGGGGTGTCCCGGAGTGTGTCGGGGGTGTCCCAGCATGGAGGCCCAGAAAGACCTTTGTGTAAGGCTATAAAGGTGAAGCCCGAATTGCCTTGGAGATCCCAAGGTGTTGGAGATGCCAGAGCCGTGGGATCCCTGCTGAGGAGAGCTGCTAACAGGGAGTGGAACCAGCCCAAGAGAGAGAAGTGTGTTGCAGTCAACAAAGCTGAAATAAGTTGGAGATCTGAAGAGCGCTTTGACATTAGATTTCGAGATAGAATTTGGAGTTTGCTCAGCTGGTTTTCAGTCTTGCTTTGATACTGTATTTCCTCATTATGCTCCTTTCCATCCCTTTTGGAATGGTAATGTATATGTTGGAAGTATGTGACCTGCTTTTTGATTTTTGTTTTACAGGGGGCTAGAGTTAAGAGATTGCCTTGAGTCTCAGAAGAGACTTTGGACTTTTTGTAGTATTTTTTGTTTCGTTTTGTTTTTCGAGACAGGGTAGCCCTGGTTGTCCTGAAACTAGCTCTGTAGACCAGGCTGGCCTTGAACTCACAAAGATCTACCTACCTCTGCTTCTCAAGTGCTGGGATTAAAGGCGTGTGCCACCACTGCCCAGCTGATGGACTTTAGACTTTTAAATAGTGTTGAAACTGTTAGAGATTATGGGGACCTTTAAAGTTAGACTAAATGCATTTTTACATTAGGATACAGCTACCAGCCTCTGGGGGACAGGGGGTGGAATGTGGTGGTTTGAATAGAAATGGACCTGATAGGCTCATGGGTTTGATAGCTTGTTCACCAAGGAGATGTGGCCTTGTTGGAGGAAGTGTGTCACTGGGGGCGGGCTTTGAGGTTTCAAATGCATAAGCCGGGCCCAGTGGGTCTCTCTTCTTCCTGCTGCCTGCAGATCTAAATGTAGAATTCCCAGCTTCCCCAGCAGCATGTCTGCTTTAACATCGCCATGCTCCCCACCATGCGAATAACAGACTAAACCTCTGAAACTGCAAGCAAGCCCCAGTTAAATGCTTTCCTTATAAGAGTTGCCATGGTCATGGTGTCTCTTCATGGCAACAGAACACTGACTAAGACAGAGGGGGCAGGATTCAGGCACTCTCAGATTTTGGCACTTGAGAGACAACTATGGAATTTCTTTTATATTTGTCTTGTGTTCAGTTTTTTGAGGGGGGGGGGTTGTTTGTTTTTTTTTTCTTTTTCTTTCTTTCTTTCTTTCTTTCTTTCTTTCTTTCTTTCTTTCTTTCTTTCTTTCTT